AACTCGCGCGTCTTCTTCTTGTAGTCCTCGGTCGAGTCCACTATGGTACTCCAAGGTGTGCCCAGCAACAACACACACGCAGTTTGAGGACGCTTCCGTGCGTGCTCATTACCTCTTACTCCCTCTTTGCACATATTTACAGTAACCTCATTGAGTACCTTAAGTGACTCTTGGGCCTTGTATTAGGCAAACAATAGTATAAAAAGTTCACTCTTTAGGAGTATTATTAGTTGATGCTTTTATTCTTTCTAGATAGCAAAATTGGTGGGGTGAATCATTTAGTCTGTAGCCAGATATATAGCTTTTCGTTGAACTTTGATCTGAAATTTTGACTGACTGAATATTTAATCTCTGTGATTGTTATTTGCCATTGTATTTAGTGCATTAATGAGGAATGAGATTATGTTTAAATGGATTTGAATAAAATCTTGTTTTATTCCCTATTATTAATCTGCACGCTTATTTATGTACACAGTATCGCATCCTGGGTAAGACGATAAACTACATCCGCATCCATAGTAAGACAATAAACTACGTCCAACAGCAAAGCCTCTGATCAGTAGGTTTTGAGGAGTATGGAACCACCACTTAATTGCTGGTGTTCCCAGGTCCACCCTGACCCAAGGTGGTAGCACCTGTTAGGGTCCCAGCTATGGGCAAATAGTTAACCTCGAAACTGAGGCAAAAAACATTATGAAAGTGTAAAAATAGGTTTTAATACCAGAAATATTTTGTACGAACATTATTATCAGAACTAAATTTTTGAAGAAAAAAACTATTACCAGCAATACATTTTTTAAAAAAATATTACCAGCTATACAATTTTGAGGAAAAAAATATTACCAGAAATAGATTTTTGACAAAACAAAAATATTATCAGGAAAAAAAAGTTGTCAGCATTAAATGACCCATTGAGGTTGATATGCCGTAAAACAAAAACCATACCAAACCAAATGTACACTGTATTACTGCCTTTGGGTAAAGATCAGGCATTGGTTAGTGATGCTTTGTTTCATTGCCTAATAATTTCTGGTGTTTATGGTATAAATTATCCACTTTTTTCATTAAAGTGTTTATGGTGTGAAATATCCACTTTTCATTGTCACAAAAAAAAAGAATTTTGTTACATTTTAAGTCAGTAGTTCCATAATTTTTTTTTCTCTGGGCTGCTTTTTCAGAATTAAAATTTGCTTGTGCCTCACCAGATTTTATGTGATAAAGAGTACATTTAAAAAGAAAACAACAAAAAAAAACCCAGAAAGAGTCTTAAAAGGAGATAACTGTGGATTCAAAGTCAGAACATTATCATTGATAACTCTCTCCTCCAGTTTGTGAACCCTGGTTAATATATTCTGAATTTTTGAAAACTTTTTAATTCTTTGATTGTCTTTCAATCATACTGCCTCACCTGCTATCCTCTTCCACTGCACCTATGAGGCGTGCCACACTGTTTGGGAACCACTGATTTTAAATATTGAATTGTATACACTAGTATGAGCCAGGCAGTGTTTTTTTTTTTTTTGCTTAGATTATGTGGAAGCTATACATCAAAGAGACTAACATAACCAAGTTGGTGCAAGTAATTTTCAGCACTTAATTTCCATATTTTGAGTATATTAGCTAACATTGCATCATGTTATTTTCAAGTCGTGTCGTGATTTCATTACTGTCAACCTCAACTGGTTGATAGCAAACCACTTTAGATATGTTTGATCATGCACATTACCTTCATAAAATGTTTAATTTTTTCTGCATTTGAGTTGCATTTTTACTTAAATTAAAACTACATAATTTGCTAGAATTAATTTTCGGTTGAAATTTTAAAAATCTTTCTCTTAAAACAACAACTTAAGATAGATTTCTCAAGTCCAGTAGCTGTTATTGCTCTTTCCAGTATAAATGGGGAGGTTTCCTTCCTAACTTTTTATTTGAAGTCATGTAGGCAGCAAGAACTGAGTTATCTTTTTGCATAACCAACAAAAAATTGTTAAACAGATTTAAGAACTTGTATGTGTCTAACGGAAAAAAGAATAGCATTGATTTTTACATAAATGCTTTTCAGCATAATTTCCACCTTCAGATGATTGGAATTTTGAACTGAACCCTTTATTTCATCCACCAGGGTAGATTGTTCTAGTTCCACGTGCCATGCCTCTTTTGGATGTCTCAGTTATCTCCCTTTAACTCAACTCATCAAGTTTTTGTTCACCACTCCTGCAGACAGGTATTGAACACCCAACTCTTTTGGGTCAAGTCACTAGATCTAAGGGCACATGGCCCAGTGGATAAAAGTTGGATCCAGTGAAGGCCAGAATGTACAATGGCCAAAATGTCATGAACATGATAATAAAGATGAGGATGACAGTCTGAAGAACGTATATAATTACAACACTTTATCTCAGAAATACAGACAGATAATCTCCCTTATGAAACTTTATGCAGGGAAAATTTCAAACTTAATTATCCGCCTTGTGTGTGCATATAAATGGCTGGCTGCTCGTTTTTAAGTATGCCCCGTCTGCTGGAGGTGGTGGGGTAATTAATCCCTAATGCTGACACCTGCTCAGGCATATTTGTGTTGCTTCAGCAATCACAGAGGCATCTTGTAGTTTATACTGCGTCAATGCTAAGCTGACAATAGTTATAGTTTCTGAAAGAGAGCATATAATCTAGCGTGATTAACAGTCTGAACAAGGCCAGTGCACTCAAACCCTCACTCACGAGGACTTATGACTTCATGTTGACACAACAATTGACAGGTTCAGAACAGTTCTGTATATCAGTTTCACTCATAAGGCTTGGGTCAACTTGTACTATGGTTTACAGTCACTTCCTAACAGAGCCGCTCACAGGGATTGTCTCCCCAGGTCGATATTATCAAGAAGTCATTTCCCCGACAAATTGACCAGGATCTCAATGTTAGTATGCTAGTGTTCTAATCACAATCACATGCTCACTAATATATACTATGCAGCAAAACATGTAGAATGTATACTTCAGTAGGTATTAAATATATGTAAGCAGCATATTGCTGAAGAAAGAATCAAATCAAGAGAAAATATAGTTTGGGGTAGATGCTTGGGGTCTGTATTGTGTGGCTAGGTGTGAAGAAAGGCTTCCAAAGATCAGGTATATATGTGCGATTATGGGATAACGGGCCCCCTGGTCAATTACCCCATACGACAACTGCCCTCAGACAATGGAAGAAAATTTTTTAGAAGTTTTGCTTTTAGTGCAATAACAAAGATAAATTTCAAAACGCCATCTTGAAGTTTATGGGATTATCCTGACTTGACCTGATAGGTTTGGGGAGTAGCAAGAAGACAACGTCTAGTCTGAATTCAGTGTTTCAACTGATCACAGTGCATTTACAACTCTCCAAGTATAATAAACATTTTTATAATACCCCATCATGGAGTTCGTCCAATGTGAACATGTTAAAAAGGAAGCTTATTTATGTTGGCTACTTGTATACAAAGCAGGAAGAACTGGCAAATAGTGTTATATTTCTTTTGAATGTGAGAAATGTCAGCATAGCAACTATAATAATAGCAATTTTAGTTGTATAATTCTAGCAATATAGAAATATAAATATTATTATTGAATAATTCTTCTTATTGGATAAGAGATAAAACATGAAAATAAAACCCTAATTAGTTTTATTAGTATTCCAATCCCTGCCCCTCCTGATACCATGTGTACCTATGTAGACTTATTAACTGATTCAGTGTTATGGAGTGATTTCACAGTGGAGGCTTGTATTTGCACTAAGTCGGTCCTAAAATAGGTTCAACGTACAAAACGTTAGGAACTTGATATAATAGGTATGACGCAGAGAAAATCTAGTTGTGGTTGCTGATACTTTAGTATCCGACTAACGGTCATCCGGCATCGACTGACTGATCGAACCACTGAACGACTCCTCGTTACTCTTACTACTCCTACTTATTACAGGTGGGAGAGTCTATTAACTATAGAATAGGTGTGTTCCACTATAACAATTAGCTGGAAAGATATATATATATATATATATATATATATATATATAAACCTAGTGAGCCAGACAAACCTACCTAGGTTTCACCTAAGCGGATTGTCAGGGAAAAGCGGCTTTCCCTGACGATCTGTTTAGGTGAAACCTAAAGGTTTGTCTGGCTCACTAGGTTTATCTAGGTCTGCTCTATGGTTGTATTGAGCTCTTTTTGTTAGTTGTTTACTAGTATCGGGTTTTTTCTTTGGGCTTCAAACCTGTATCTATGCGATATTTTTCGACAGACTTTCATGTTTGTAGCTCTCTTTTTTTTTTTTTTTAAAACCTTTTTTCCCCTCGTGATTGATTTGATTATTGTTCAAATCAAAAATTTGAGGGTTTTTTAAACGAGTATAGTTATCTATATATATATATATATATATATATATATATATATATATATATATATATATATATATATATATATATATACAAGTATATAATTGGTATATACAGAATGAATTCCAATAACCAACAATTACTATTCTTAAGAGTGCTCAATACAAAGTAGAGCAGATATAAGTATTTTTTATAAAAAATTATAACATAAGTATGTTATAAAATCACTACAAAAATAGCCATTTTGTTTCTAAGACAGTGTGTTGAAAGAAAATGGCTATTTTTGTAGTGATTTTATAACATACTTATGTTATAATTTTTTTTATAAAAAATAATTTTATATATGTGTGTGTGTGTGTGTGTGTGTGTGTGTGTGTGTGAAAAATGTGTGTATATAAATATCTCTCTCTCTCTCTCTATATATATATATATATATATATATATATATATAATTATATATTATATGTGCAGTGCTTATTAGAAAGCTCAATATCAGAGATAGAGCTAACATATTTGGTTCGATTGATGTGAGTTTGATATATATATATATATATATATATATGCTTGATGTAATAAATCTTAATCTTTAATGTTTTTCTTTCTAATATATACTTTTTTTTTAAATTTTCAGATGTCCTTCGAATATGGGATTCTCTCCTTTCAGATGAGAAAAGATTCCAGTTTTTAATTACCATGTGCTGTGCTATGCTGATGTAAGTAAATTATCAAAAGCACTGCTGTCTAAATAGAAAGTATTCAGTTATTGTAGTGTTAACAAAGAGAAATCACCTGTCTTCAACAATGCCATTATCTTCAAAGTATTGCTTGATTGCATTTCACATACCTAACCCAGTGTCCATTGGACTTTCCAAACCTGCTTACAAAATCTCTTTGGGATTGCCATCAGCTGTTTTGTTTCCTTCTCCTTAATCTCGTCCATGGTCTGAAAGCTCTTTCTTTTTCAACCCTGGCTTTAGGAAAAGCTGGAAATCCCAGAGAGCCAAATTTTGGTATGGGTGGATGGCACTAACAGACTGGAGTAATGTGATATTTTGCCTTTAAATCCCTGTATGATATGTGAAAAATGGGCATTGTCATGAGGAATGTGAAGGTCACCCAGTGAACGAACTCACTCAATATCTTACTCCTAATTTAGTAACTACAGGAAAATTTTATAATGTATATGCAGTAAGGTCATCTAGGATTGGCTGCCAGGTTACATCAGGCTTGTGCAACCAGTTCTCAAAAAATCCAAAATGCCTGGAAACTTTCCTCAGATAAGTAATCCCCCCATTTTTGATTTACTTTTTCTTTTCTAGAATAGATTCTTTCAATTTGTCAAGCAGAGAAGATATGAAACTAACACAGCAGGAAAATTATTTTCTAGGTTGTAAAATAACTGGGATATACCTCATACTGAGTCATGGAATATGATAACAAACCAATACTGGTGCCCTATTTTTTTTTTTTTTTTTGCTTAACCTATTACTCGTGGAAAAAAAAATTTTCATGATTCAGTCTTGATTTAAAAACAAGAATATTAAATTTAATCTTCAGTTACTTTATTTGATACAATATGGTATTACTTTCTAATGGCATTCAATACCACTCTTTTTAGCAGCATTCAGTACCACTCATTTTAGCGGCATTCAATACCAGTCTTTTTAACGACATTCAATACCACACTTCTTTAAATGTCAGGCATTACTACCCTTTGTTTTTAAACATCATAACATACCACTCTTTTTAATGGCATGCCATTGCACACCTTACATGCAAGACTTACTTTTCAACAATTCACAAAACTTTTTTTAATTGTATACAATATGATACTTTTTAATGCCATACAAGACCCTACGTTTTAATGGCATGCAATTCCCCACTTTTTAATAGTGTACAAGACCCATTTTCTTTTTTAAAACATTATACAGAGCTCCCTTTTTTAATGGCATATAAGACTCACTTTTCCTCCAAATATTGGAATTTCATAAATTTGTAATAAATCCACCAAAAAACCTTTTTTTTTTTTTTTTTTTTTTTTTTTTGAACTGGCTCTAACTGGGAAGTTGGAGGAAGTTCCAGTAATATTTGATGTTCCGTCAACAGTTTATTTCTTAATATTCTCTCCCAGTATAGGTCTTTGAACAAATATTGTACAAAAAGTTTTATTTAGTATTAAATAATTATTATTTATTAATTTTTACAATATTAGTATAGAAATATTATATAAATGATTTCTTTTTTTTTTTTTTTTTTTCAATATACTTAAAATATATTTGTTACTTATTACATGCAATAATTGCCTGAGGCAGCCAAAGGTTAATCATTTGATTGGTGACCACATGACCCACAGTTTTTTAATCACCCAGGTTATATTGAGCTGCTAACTGAATTTTTAGTTGACTTCACAGTTCTATCTAAGGGAAGAGAGACTTTATGCAGAATTACAATCCCAGGAAAACAAAAGTTCAATATATTTTGCTGACAACTTTTGGTTTAATTTCATTAATTATATTCGGACTATTGTCCTCATCTTTGTTATTGTTACCATATTTCAGCCATTCTGAACCCTCCAGGATTCTTCAGTTGTCTCTTGATCCAGGTGACCTTCAGGAAATTTTGAATTGAGTCCTTTTTTTTTTTTTTTTTTTTTTTTAAAGAACTTGATGGCTTTGGGTAGTACAGACTTAATGGAAACTGTGCAAGCAATCACTGAGCAGTACTAAAAGTTGAACCAGAGACCTTGAAACATGGATTCAGAACAATCTACCTCCATAGATTAAGTAATGGGTTCTGTTTGAAATTTGCTGAAATTTATCTGGATTGACAGCTTTGTGGAACTGACTCCCAATAGGAGGCTTCCCCGATCACTACAATCTTAACCTGTTCAAGTCTAGGGTTAACCGTTAACTGCCCCACATGTCCTCATGAACTTTGCGTCTTAATCTATATTTGGGTAGATAGAGCTTGACAGCCCAGGAAGGCAATTAGTCTAAGGGAAGGAGAGACCTGATTTTAAACCTCTGCTGCCTTGCAGTCATATCCAAAACATGAAAAAGGCTATGGAAGTAAACCTAGACAGAAAACCTGGAGTGGAACCCCGAAGGCAATTGGCTATCCACACTGATAACTTTCTTGCAACTTCTGTAGTTAAGCTGTCACCATGACCTGTATTACTTTGGTATGTCTGAGAGGGGTGCCCAAGTAGTCTGGGTAGCACATGGCCCCATGCACCATTGCCCAGACCTGTGTCCTGGATTGGTCACTTCAGTTTCACCACCAAAGGACTGAATTTTTACCAAGCATGATGCTATCTTAAAGATAAATGGATGCCTACTATACTCTGTAACCATCTACCTTGAGTGGCTCTTGATCTTTGTACATTGTTAAAAAAAAAAAGAACCTGAATACTGGAGGGTACAATGAGAAAAAGTATGCTGGTTTCTGCTATGGGAGGCTTTAATTGTTAAAATTAGATATTTCTGGTTGTTGTTTTCCAAACTACTTGTTTGTGGATTGGATTCATGTAAACACTCAACTTTTGGACACTTTATATATTGGACTTAACTCTTAAAATTTTGGCTTCAAATTTTTTTTTAATGTGCACATTTTTTAGAAAAAAAAATTAAAAATATTTAACTCTCTTCATTTTCTTCAATTTTAAACAATACCTGCTGGTAGAGTAAACTTTTTGACAACTTACAAAAACTCTTCTCAATTTGTAAATAAAGATGGTCATTTTGTAAAAATCTTAAACTTTAAATGTTGAATTTCAAGTTTAATTGGATACTGTCTTCACATAGTTTTCTCCCCTTTGTTTTTGTCTGTTTTTTTTTATTTTGTAAATTCTAAAATCACCAATTTTATATACAGCATGAAGGCTGATTTGTATTATTCATTTTTAACAGATTACTTCGAAGTGATATATTAAAAGATGATTTTCCAACTAACATGAAACTTTTACAAGTAAGTCATTTCTTCTTTAATTTTCTTTTCCAAAAATGCTTCAGATAAGGATTTTCATCTTTATTCTTTTTTATTGGGCTTTTAGTTGATCTGATCTCCAACCTGTTAGTGTTACTAATGATTATTGAGTATCTTTGTGTGTATATATATATATATATATATATATATATATATATAATGTGTATGGAAAAGCATATGCTTATCCAATATGTGTTTTTGTATTAACATATTCAAACAAAACCCATATTTATAAAAGAATTTCAACAAAATAAAAAAAAATGTATGAATCAGCCCTAAGAAACAGCAGATATTCAATAAACTAGAATACAAAAATGAAAACAAGGCAAACAAAAACAACAAAAAAAGAAACAATGATACAATAAAACAAAAATAAGGAAAATATTCTTTAAAATAATTGACAAACACTTCCCTAAAAACAGAAAATTATCAATAAAAAATAAAATCAAAATTAGTTACAGCTGTAAGGATAACATGGAGAAAATAATAACTAAGCATAATAGAAAAAAAAATTCAACAAAACCAATTACAACAACATCCATTAAAATAATGTCATCAAATGTAACTGAAGAAACAAATAAAATTACCCACTTAACAGTAAATGTTTAACCAATAACATAGTATACAAAGTTATCATAACTAATAACATTAGCACAGACAAAAAAATTTATATAAGAGCCACAGAAAAAAAAAATTGAAAGATATTATAACTGCAAAGAAATTTGAAAGAACTACAAAAACAATACACCCCTATCAAAATATGTATGTAGTCAAAAAAAAAAAAACAATATTGCCACCAAAATTAAATGAGAAATTATAAAAAGAGCAGACCCATGCAGTATTAACAGTAAAAATTTTAAACTATGCTTAGAGGAAAAATTAGCAATAATTAGTTTTAAAAAAATAAAATAAACTCTTAAACAAGAAGACTGAAATAATGTGTAAATGAAGGCATATAAACAAATACTTACTTTGCTATCTAAGCACTAATCAAAATAACCAATTAAACTTTAAATAAATGAAATAAATTTAATACAAACTTAAAAAATTATTTGTAAGTAAATAAACAAACAAATACTAAATATGCACATCTATATGAATTTGGGAGTGTACATATATACACACACACACACATACAACTCTACAAATGAACAAACTTAAGCTCCCATAATTAATACTTCAATATATAACACTAATACCAAAACAAATAAACATTAAATAACTGAAAACATATGATATAAGCAAATATTCTATTTACTATGTGTACACTATTTAAAATTACATGTACGAAAGTATATACTGTATACTTTATATACATATAAATATATATATACATATATTCAAACAGCAAAAAAAAAAAAAAATACTCCATAAACCCAAACAAATGCATCCTGGGTAAGATGATAAGCTACATCCAACAAGAAGTCCTCTGATCAGGTTTTGAGGAGTGTGGGACCATCTCTTAATTGTTGGTGTTCCCACATCAACCCTGACCTGGAGTGCTAGCACCTGTTAGGGTCCCAGCTATGGACAAATGGTTAACCGCCAAACTGGGGTCAAAACCCTATGAGAGTGTAAAAATAGGTTTTAATACCAGCAATACATTTTTGTAAAAAATTATTACCAGCAATACATTTTTGAAAAAAATACTACCTGCAATAAAAAAAAAAAAAAAAAATATCTTGTCGGCATTAATCCATTAAGGTTTATATGCTGTTAAAAAAAAAAACAAACCCCAAACAGCCAGAATTAATTCTCTAAAAATAGAAAAAACACTAGTTTATCATTAACAATGCACAGACAAGTGTATATGTGCTAATGTTTGCATGTGTATATATGTGCACAACTGTATAAATACAGGCATATGCACATAAATTCAAACAATAATGAATAAAAATTTAATTTTAAACCTAATCTCCTACAATTAATATTTTAATAGTACTCGACTTAAGATACCACCATACCAAATAAGAAAACAAAAGAATAGCCAAATGAAGACATATATATAAATATCTACTTTATCATTTAAGCATTAAAATCAATTATTTATGTAAAAAATGAAATACAATTTTTCTAACTAAAGAAAAGATTAGAATGCTCAAAAATTAAAAACAGTATGTCGAGGAAAATAATTGGAAATCAAATAGCATCAAATGCCTACAATTGAAAGTAACAAGGAAAAAACAAAAAAGAGGAGGAGTCAGTATGAAATAAAGTAAAATGAAGGAAAAGACAAATAATCATGACATCTTACACATCCACATAGACAGGTGCATGGATGCACACACACAAACGTATGCACACACACACACACACATTACAAAAAAAACTTACATCAATAAGAAGTACATATAAAAAAGAAAAATTGAGAGATATGCTGTTATCCCCTGACAAGAGGATGGATGGGTCAATCCATGAAACTCTGGAGTCGGGATGCTGAAGGTAGCATCAATCAGCTAAGTGATAAACCTTTTACTTACACTAATTCTCTCTCTCTCTCCCTATATATATATATATATATATATATATATATTTTTTTTTATTATAATTTTTTCATATAGACAAAAACAATTTACTCACTACAAAGATGCAACCTTGTTTCAGTGCATTTATTGCACCTCAAATGGTTACTATTTTTGCTTCTCACCAGTTGAGGTGCAACTAAATACACTGAAACAAGGTTGCATCTTTGTAGTGAGTAAATTGTTTTTGACTATATGAAAAAAATTATAATTGCTCTACTATCGGTATTTATATATTATTCTCATTCTCATTATATTGGAATGTAATGATAATAAAATCACACACACACACACACACACACACATATATATATATATATATATATATATATATATAATTTCAGATATAGCTAAGAATATATCTGTAAAAAGACTATGAATAAAGACAAAAGGATAAAGTCCACCAGAGGACAAAAACTCTCAGCTAAGAGAAGTTTTCCTTTCATCTTTTATATATATATAATATATACAATATTAAAATATATATATATATATATATATATATATATATATATATATCAAAGTATATAATTGGTATATACGGAATGAATTCCAATAACCAACAATTACTATTCTTAAAAGAGTGCTCAATACAAAGTAGAGCAGATATAATTATTTTTTATAAAAATATGTATGTGTATCTATCGGTGTCTATGTGTATGTAGAGTGTATTTACATTTAACTGTGTGTGTGTATTAGTGTTAGTTTCCACGTCTCCTTTTTTCATAAAGGGCTGTATAGATGTTCATGTCCCCCCACCTCCTCCTCCTTTTTTTTTTTTTTTTTTTTTTAGTGTGTGTGTGTGTGTGTGTGTATGTATATCTAATTATGTCTGGGTGCTTATGTATTATAATCTGATTGTTTTTTTGTTGTTTTTTACGTGAGTTTAAGACCACATTCACAAACTTTAAAATAAAAACGGAAATGAAAGGAAAAAGAAAAAAATATATATACATGTATTGTCAAATGACCGGATATATTGTAGCGTCCTTGTCGAACGTAATTTCAATGAAGAAATGAATTGAGTAAACATATATATTTTTTCTTTTCTCAATAATTTTGTAGTTTTTAAACTTAATAGTGATTAAATTTGGATTTTAAAATTGCCAGTTTTTAATTTTAATATTAAATTTTATCATATAATTTTATAATTATTAGTTAGTATAAATTATTTTTAATATTACACGTATTTAAAGATCTGAATAGCTATTATAGCAGGATTTCGTTGTCAAGCTTTTGAATCTTTCTATACTTCGTTTTTGATTGGTTATTCTAGCTTTTGTAACAATGTTTCCCCCTAGTGTAGGATCGTTAATTAATCTGAAACTTTTAAAACCATTTATTTTCTTTTCAACATCATCACTTGATAAGACACAGAGTGTGTTGAAACAAAATGGCTATTTTTGTAGTGATCTTATAACAAACTTATGTTATAATTTTTTATAAAAAATAATTATATATATATATATATATATATATATATATATATAAGGCTTAATCTAACACTGATAATAACATTGTTAAATTATCTTTTGACACTCAGAGTCAAAAGATAGAGAAAAGAAATAATGTGAAATTATAAAGAGACAAGAAAATTATGAAAAGAAAATAACGACATCCTACATGTACGCGTATGCACACGTGTAGATGTACACACACACAAAGAAGAAGAAAAAACCTAACACCTATAAAAAGCACATAAATTTTCTTTTGTTAATATAAAAATAACAAAAATAAGAAAATTAACAGACAATTGCCGAGACCTCCTGATGAGTGGACCAAATGATTACACACTGTTTTGTCTATGAAACTGAAGTAGAAATGCTGACTATAAACTCAATCAACTAAGTGACATTTTATATTTGTATCAATCCTATATATATATATATATATATATATATATATATATATATATATATATAATCTCAAAATATTAGTAAAATAGTTAACAGAAACACATTAAAACTAAGTTATAGCTGCACCAATATAAAATTTTAAACCAATAATCTGGATCATAATACACATTCCAAGATAAATATTATTAATGATACTGGCCAATGTAATTGTAGAAATTCTGACCAATGCCCATTGCCAAACAAATGTTTAACTAAATATCTTGTTTATCTTTGTACTATCTCTACAATAGAGAATCCAATAAAAATTCCTTATTAAATCAAAGAAATGAATTAACAGTAAATTGTAAACATAGTTTACTTTTTACCTTATAATTTATTTAAACTTTGGAATTTCATTATGCTTTTTTTTTTTTTTTTTTTTTTAGTCATACTGTGTTGCAACATATTATCTTTCTATTTGTAAGATTAATTTGGATTTAATATAATTTTGTATTAATCTCCCGGTAGTATTAGTAACATCTTGTATGAATGTATTGGTATTTGGTTGGTATTTTTTGACATTTTAAATTTATTGGTTAATGTTATTAACATCTTATATGAAGAATCCTTATTCAACAGTTGCATATTAATTTACCAAATAATTCTATACATT